TCACACTACATATTTATACACATACAGTATTAAAATTGTTTTCATAGCACGTTTTTTTTATATTTGTTTATTAACATGTATATATCAATACAATATGATTACAACGAAACACAATATCTGTTGTCTACAGGTTATCCGGAAGTAATGTACATGTTACATCAACAAATCTTGAAATGTTGTTTGTTTTTATCGGTTAATTTTGTAAAAAGATCTTAATTAAAACGCAGAAATAAAAAGCATCAATGCGAGAATGATGACATCGCAGAAATAAGATACGCAGAAATTTAAAACCCCTTATTTTAACCAAAATCGCAGAATATTAAGCCCGCAGAAATAAGTACTTATACGGTATATTTATTGGCGTGTGTGCATATATACATTTTTGTGAAAAATATTTGCATCTATAAAATACCTTTCAAAAACACTGGATCCCAAGAAGGATACAAGAACAAGGAAAAAATAACAATAAATTTGGAGAAAATAAACGTTCATACAGTGCTAAAGTATAAGTTTTAGAATTGCGTGTTTCTTTTTTTTAGAATTGCATGTTTTTATTTTTAGAATTGCGTGTTTCTATTTCTAGAATTGCCTGTTTCTATTTATAGAATTGCATGTTTCTATTTTTAGAATTGGGTGTTTCTATTTATAGAATTGGGTGTTTCTATTTATAGAATTGCTTGTTTCTATGTATATAATTGCGTGTTTCTATTTTTAGAATTGCATGTTTCTATTTTTAGAAGTGTGTGTTTCTATTAATAGAATAACGTGTTTCTGTGTATAGAATTTTGGTTTTTATTTTTAGAATTGCGTGTTTCTATTCATAGAATTGCGTGTTTCTATTTTTAGAATTGCTATTTTTAGAATTGCGTGTTTCTTTTTTTAGAATTGCGTGTTTCTATTTATAGAATTGCGTGCTCCTATTTATAGAATTGCGTGTTTCTATTGATAGAATTGCGTGTTCCTATTTATAGAATTGCGTGTTTTTATTGATAGAATTGCGTGTTTCTATTTATAGAATTGCGTTTTTCTATTCATAGAATTGCGTGTTTCATTATATAGAATTGTGTGTTTCTATTTATAGAAATGCGTGTTTCTATTTTTAGAATTGCGTGTTTCTATTGATAGAATTGCATATTTCTATTTATAGAATTGCATGTTTCTATTTATAGAATTGTGTGTTTCTATGTATATTTTCTGTAAAAATGAAAGAACTTTGTATTCTGCATTTCCCAAAACATACTTTTTTTTTATACATGAGATCCACACAAGGAATCGAACTTCTTTTTTTTTTATATATATATATGTATAAAAATTAACGAACTTTGTACTCTGCATTTCCCAAAACATACTTTTTTAGCTCACCTGTCACAAAGTGACAGGGTGAGCTTTTGTGATCGCTTTTCGTCCGGCGTCCGTCCGTCGTCTGTTCGTCCATCCGTAAACATTTACTTTAAATGACATCTCCTCATAAACCACTTAGCCAATTTCATCCAAACTTCACAGGAATGTTTCTTTGGTGGTCACCTTTAAAAATTGTTCAAAGAATTTTATTCCATGCAGAACTCTGGTTGCCATGGCAACCAAAAGAAAAAACTTTAAATATCTTCTTTTAAAAAACCCAAAGAGCTAGAGCTTAGATATTTGGCATGAAACATCTTCTAGTGAGTGTCTACCAAGTTTGTTCAAATAAAAGCCCTGGGGTCAAAATTGGCCCCGCCCTAGGGGGTCATTGATTTTCCCTATATGCATATAGTAAAAACTTAAAAATCTTCTTTTAAAGAACCCAAAGAGCTAGAGCTAAGATATTTAGCATGAAACATCTTCTAATGAGTGTCTACCAAGTTTGTTCAAATAAATTGGCCCCGCCCCAGGGGGTCATTGATTTTCCCTATATGCATATATTAAAAACTTAAAAAATCTTTTTTTAAAGAACTCAAAGAGTTAGAGCTAAAATATTTAACATGAAACATCTTCTTATGGGTGTCTACAAAGTTTGTTCAAATAAAAGCCCTGGGGTTGAAATTGGCCCGCCCCGGGGGGTCATTGATTTTCCTTATATGTGTATAGCAAAAACTTAAAAATCTTCTTTGAAAAAACCCAAATAGCTAGAGTTTAGATATTAAGCATGAAACATCTTCTAGTAAGTGTCTACATGGTTTATTCAAGTAAAAGCCCTGGGGTCAAAACTGGCCCCGCCCAAGGGGTGTCATTGTTTTTAACTATATGTGTATAGTTAAAAACTGAAAAAAAATCTTCTTTTAAAGAACTCAAAGAGCTAGAGCTAAGATATTTAGCATGAAACGTCTTCTTATGGGTGTCTAACCAAGTTTGTTCAAATAAAAGCCCTGGGGTCAAAATTGGCCCCGCCCCGGGTGTCATTGATTTTCTTTATATGTGTATAGCAAAAACTTAAAAGATCTTCTTTGAAAAAACCCAAATAGTTAGAGTTTAGATATTAAGCATGAAACATCTTCTAGTGAGTGTCTACAAAGTTTGTTCAAATAAAAGCCCTGGGAATCAAAATTGGCCCCGCCCAGGGGGTCATTGATTTTCCTTCTATGTGAATAGCAAAACCTTAAAAATCTTCTTTGAAAAAACCCAATGAGCTAGAGCTTAGATGTTTAGCATGAAACATCTCCTTATGGGTGTCTACCAAGTTTGTTCAAATAAAAGCCCTGGGGTTAAAATTGGCCCTGTGGGGGGGGGGGGGTTTCATTGTTTTTCATTATATTTTTGGTAGTAAAAACTTAACATCATGAAACATCTTCTAATTGGTGTCTTCCAAGTTTGTTCAAATAAAAGCCCTGGGAATTTAAACTGGCCCTGCCCCGTGGGCCTTTATACAGGTGAGCGACCTCAGGGCCATCATTGCCCTCTTGTTTTTATATATATATATATAAAAAAAGTATGTTTTGGAAAATGCAGAGTACAAATTTTATTAATTATTTATACGTTTATTTCTGTTAGCGCTTTCAAATGTTTTTACAGACAGATATGTAAAAACCTTTGAAAGCGCTAACAGAAATAAACGTATAAAAAATTAACGAACTTTGTACTCTGCATTTCCCAATACATACTTTTTTATACATGAGATCCACACAAGGAATCAAACTTCTTTTTTATATATATATATATATATATTTTATATATATATATATATATATATATATATATATATATATATATATATATATATATATATATGTGTATATATATATATATATATATATATATATATATATAAATGAGTATATTTATATATACAAAATATATAGACAAAACTAATGTGACAAAACAGACCGATTTAATTTATAAAAAGGAAATGTTAAGATTTGTTCAAACCTTTCTTTGTTTGCTTTTAGAAAAAGTAAAAAGTCGAGCGTTGCCCCCGCCCGGCGGTGGCTCCTGTTATTTATAGGTTTCTGCAACAGAAAATGTTGAAATGAAAAAATCATTTGACGTAAATATTCTATTTGGTATTCAACAAAACATTTAACAGTTTAATAATATTTACAAAGTACATTGTGGGATTTGGCTATTTAAGTGACTATAACAATTTGAGTTAATGTGTGTATCAAAAAAATCTGCATTACCCTGTCAATCTTGATATATAATAAAATGTGTCAAACTTCCTGTCAATTTTGATATTAAATAAAATGTGTCCAACTTCCTGTCAATTTTGATATCAAATAAAATGTGTCAAACTTCCTGTCAATTTTGATATCAAATAAAATGTGTCAAACTTCCTGTCAATCTTACTATCAAATAAAATGTGTCAAACTTCCTGTCAATTTTTATATCAAATAAAATGTGTCAAACTTTCTGTCAATCTTGATATCAAATAAAATGTGTCAAATTTCCTGTCAATCTTGATATCAAATAAATTGTGTCAAACTTCCTGTCAATTTTGATATCAAATAAAATGTGTCAAACTTCCTGTCAATCTTGATATCAAATAAAATGTGTCAAACTTCCTGTCAATCTTGATATCAAATAAAAATGTGTCAAACTACCTGTCAATATTGATATCAAATAAAATGTGTCAAACTTCCTGTCAATCTTACTATCAAATAAAATGTGTCAAACTTCCTGTCAATCTTGATATCAAATAAAATGTGTCAAACTTCCTATGCTTTAATGCATTTTCGCCAAAATTTTTTATAGAAATTAAATTACAAAGGTGCAAATTTATTGTGGGAAGTAATCTTTGAGCTAGCCTCTATCAACAACTGTTTTATGATTGTAATTTCTGACTACTTTTATATTTGTCAATGATTTGATTGAACCAAATGTAGGACAAAAGCCCTCCCAGACAAAAGCCCTCATGTCCAAAAATGACAAGATGGGTAAAAGCCGTCCCGTGAAAATGACAGAAGACGGACAAAACCTCACCAGTCAAAACCCCACACCTCAAAATTTTATAGAGTGGACAAAACCCCACACCTAAATTTTACTTGTAATGTGTTAATAACTTTTAAAAGTGACTTTGTTTTAAAAGACATTTGTGTAATAAGTTACCTCAATAAACATTTCAAAAATGTATATTCTGAATGAAAGAAAAATACTCAGATCAATTGAAAACAACCATGTATATATATGTTACAATTTTAATATGTTGAGTGCATTGAAAAAAAAAAAACAAAAACAGGTAAGTAACATACATACATGTATATATTTTTGTTATGGGAGGGCTTTTGTCTGTCCAGTCATTTTCACGGGAGGGCTTTTGTCCGCTCTGTTATTTTCACACATGCTGACAGGGGAAAGACAAATTGCTTCCAGTTCTAAGTCAGGTTAAGGCAGCAAGTCTTTTAGTAACATTGTTGAACATGAATTACTAGAACAAAAAGAAAAAAACAAATTTAATGACTTTGTTATGATAACCTTCCATCACAGATCTATATTTCTGGCTAAATATTAACAATGTCATGCTAAAATAACATAAATATTACAATAGTTTGATTACACCACAGTCTAAAACTGTTTTCTTATATTTGCAGCAGAAAAACTAGTCGACTACAGACTTCCCTAGTACAACAATAACAACCAGTGTCTGGTAAATATTCTCTTGAAATTAAAAAAAGTCAGATGATTATTACTAAGTGCATTTGATTTAGAATAGCAGTAATTATGGAGCCTAGAAGTATTTTTTTACAGCTGCTATTAAATTTGCTAGAAGATGTGCTTTTATTGATGGTTTCGCTGTTTTGGGCAATTTCTATAGGGATTTTGTATATCTCTATTCTAAACATAAAATGAGTTATTGTGATACTGGATAATGTACTTATTAAGTCAAGTTATAGTGTTCAAATACAATCGTATAATCAGTTACACAAATCAGAGGAAACAAATATGACTGTCTTACAAAAATCAAACTACTGTAATGTACTCCAGTATTACTCCAGATTTTGGGGAAACATGTAATTGATTTTAATGTTTGGGTGCCTGATATATGAACTGTACTTTAATTCTAGAGTACATGTATCCATTTCACAAAATTTTGATCAATTATAATGTTACTTGAATATTTATTGTGTACGATCAGCGGATATTATGCCTTTGTAAAAGTGTACCAAATAATGTTATACTCCTAAGAAGATTAAATCAAGAAGGAATGTAGAAATCTTCCATCAGAGTTGAACATAAACCAGACTGTCTAGTCACTTTCCTCTCACTACATGCTTTTTATGCCACCGCAGCATCTGTGATGCGGTGGCATATAGCGATTCACCTGTGTGTGTGTGTTTGTTTGTGTGTGTGTTATAAAGGTTATATAGTAAACTTCAAAAATCTTCTTGTAAAAAACCACTTCTCCAATTTCAACCAAACTTGGCAGGATTGATCCTTGGGTGAAGGGCTTCCAAAAGTGTTGAAAGAATTTCATTCCATGCAGAAATCTGGTTGCCATGGCAACCAAAAGGAATTATAAGAATAAATTTAAAAAATCTTCTTGTAAAGACCCAAAAGGCCTAGAGCTTAGATATTTTGCATAAGGCATTGTCTGGTAGACCTTTACCCAGATTGTTCAAATTATAGCCCTGGGGTCAAAATTGGCCCGGTCCCGGGGGTTATTGATTTTCACTTTATGTACATATAGTAAAAACTTAATAACCTTCTTGTCTTTGGTATATGATATCATCTATAGGTACTCTACCAAAGTTGATCAAATTTTGCCTCTAGTATCAAAATTAGCCCCGCCCCTGGGGTCATAGGTTTTCCTTATATGTATATAGTAAAAACTTTAAAAAAAATTATCTTCTGGAAACTGACAAATGCTAGAGGTTAGATATTTTGCATGAGACTTTGCGTAGTGAACCTCTACCAAGATTGTTCAAATTATAGCCCTGGGGTCAAAATTGGCCCCGCCCCGGGGTCATTGATTTTCACTATATGTACATATAGTAAAAAAATTAAAAAACTTCTTGTCTGAAGGTACAAGGCATAGAGCTTTGATGTTTGCTATATAATATCATCTATAGGTCCTCTACCAAAGTTTTTCAAACTTTTCCCCTGGTGTCAAAATTTGCCCTGATGGGTGGGGGGGGGGCATTGATTCTCATTATGTACACAACTAAAACAAATGTTTTTGAATTGGAGAAAGCTACAGCTTAGATATTTTGACATGAAACATTGTTTGGTGGACGTTTTGAATTATACCCTTGGGTCAAAATTTTTGCTTTCCCAAGGGGACAGTGACCTTTTTTCTTGTCCATTTAATGTACAGCAATGAAATTTTGACCATGGGCACAGTTTTAGTTGTAAAATTGAACTTTGATATCAGGTGACCTATATTTTGATGATGTGACCTACTAGTCCTTTTATGTGCAGCTATGAAATTTGAACCATGTGCACAGATTAAGATGTAAAGTGAACTTTGATATCAACCAAACTTGGCAGGCTTGATCCTTGGGTGAAGGGCTTCCAAAGTTGTTCAAAGAATTTCATTCCATTCAGAAATCTGGTTGCCATGGCAACCAAAAGGAATTATATGAATAAATTAAAAAACTCTTCTTGTAAAGACCCACAAGGCCTAGAGCATAGATATTTTGCATAAATCATTGTCTGGTAGACCTCTACCGAGATTATTCAAATTATAGCCCTGGGGTCAAAATTGGCCCCGCCCTGGGGGTCTTTGTTTTTTACTATAATGTACATATAGTAAAAACTTTAAATACCTTCTTGTCTGAAGGTACAAGGCTTACAGCTTTGATATTTGGTACAGTGGAACCTGTCTAAACCGAACTCGTCCGGACCAGAAGAAAAGTTCGGATTAGAAAGGTTTCCGGATTAGAAGGATTTTTTTACATGTTTGTTCATGTTAATGGCAGAAAAGTTTTAGGAAAGAAAACTGGAATTCATTTGAAATTGCAATATCAATATTTTATTTTTGCAATCTCTTATCGTTCATTAGACATAAGAATTATGTTTATTAAATATGTGAATACAAAATAAATAAATAAAAATAGATAAATAAGCAAAAATATAATATCCTCAAGGGTAAGTTAACCTAGGATATTAAACAGAAGGCTGAGACATAATTAAATATTCGTACCAGCATTTGTCAATTGTTGTTTACTCTTATCCGATTCAGTGATTATCCGAATTCACTGACAGTTTCCATTAATTTCCATTACCTAATCACATGTCATTAAATTTGTTACAAAAGATTTAAAGATATTTCTGTTGCATTATATCTAAATATTTATTGAAGGTGGCGAAAAACAATCAATTAAGCAATTAAAGTAGATATCAAGGCAAGCTAAGTGTAATTTTCACACCTTCGCAGATAATACGTTTCACCCATTAATCAAGACAAATTACTCTGATCAGTTTGGTGTATGTTTACACCTGTAAGATGTGCGATTTTTTTGTTATTTTAAATATAGGTGTGACATTTTGGCAAAATCTGTTCGGATCCCAGAGGTTAATTTTAGAGTAAAATAAGAACAAAAATTGAAAAACTCGTCCGGAATTCGGAGTAGACAGGTTCCGGATCCGAAAGGTTTTTTACTATTAAAAATAGAACGAAAAAAAATCGGGACCGGACACTTCGTTCGGATAAGAAAGGATTCCGGATTAGAAGGGTTCGGGTTAGCAAGGCTCCACTGTATATGATATCATCTATAGGTACTCTACCAAAGTTGTTCAAATTTTGCCTCTAGCATCAAAATTAGCCCCCCGCCCCCTGGGAGCCATAGGTTTTCCTTATATGTATATAGTAAAAACTTAAAAAATCATCTTCTCTCAATTTACAAAGGCTAGAGTTAAGATATTTTGCATGAAACATTGTGAAGTGAACCTCTACCAAGATTGTTCAAATATAGCCGTGGGGTCAAAATTGGTTCCGCCCCGGGGGTCATTGATTTTCATTATGTTCATATAGTAAAAAAAAATATTTTTGTCTGAAGGTACAAGGCATAGAGCTTTGATGTTTGCTATATAATATTATCTATAGGTCCTCTACTAAAGTTGTTCAAATTTTTCCCCTGGAGTCAAAATTGGCCCTGCCCGGGGGCATTGATTTTCATTATGTACACATAGTAAAAACAGAAACTAAAACAAATGTTTTCTGAATTGGAGAAAGCTAGAGCTTAGATATTTGACTTGAAATGTTGTGTGGTGGACCTTTGAAACAACAAGAGGTATCAACATGAAACTTTGTAGGTACATAGATCTCATTGAGTAGCTGTGCAGTGCACAAGAACTGTAACTCTGCCTTGCCTAATTTTTGAATTATTCCCCTTTGTTTATTTTTACACTTTGAACTTTGTCCGGGACATAACTCTAAAAGTATAAGAGGTATCAACATGAAACTTTGTAGGTAGATAGATCTCATTGAGTAGGTGTGCAGTGCACAAGAACCGTAACTCTGCCTTGCCTAATTTTTTAATTATCCCCCTTTGTTTATTTTACACTTTGAACTTTGTCCGGGACATAACTCTAAAACTATAATAGGTATCAACATGAAACTTTGTAGGTAGATAGATCTCATTGAGTAGGTGTGCAGTGAACAAGAACCGTAACTCTGCCTTGCCTAATTTTTGAATTATCCCCCTTTGTTTATTTTACACTTTGAACTTTGTCTGGGACATAACTCTAAAACTATAAGTGGTATCAACATGAAATTTTTTAGGTAGAAAGATCTCATTGAGTAGGTGTGCAGTGCACAAGAACCGTAACTCTGCCTTGCCTAATTTTTGAATTATTCCCCTTTGTTTATTTTGACACTTTGAACTTTGTCTGGGACATAACTGTAAAACTATAAGAGGTATCAACATGAAACTTTCTAGGTAGATAGATCTCATTGAGTAGGTGTGCAGTGCATAAAAACCATAACTCTGCCTTGCCTAATTTTTGAATTATCCCCCTTTGTTTATTTTCACACTTTGAACTTTGTCCAGGACATAACTCTAAAACTATAAGAGGTATCAACATGAAACTTTGTAGGTAGATAGATCTCATAAAGTAGGTTTGCAGTGCACAAGAACTGTAACACTGTCTTGCCTACTTTTGGAGTTATTGCCCTTTGTTCATTTTGACACTTTGAACTTTGTCCGGGACATTACTCTAAAATTATAAGAGATATCTGAACATGAAACTTTGTAGATAGATAGGTCTCATTGGATGGAAGTGCAGTGCTTAAGAGTCATTACTCTGCCTTGCCTTATTTTGAAGTAATTGCCCTTTGTTTATTTTTATGCTCCCCGAAAAATTTCGGGGGAGCATATAGTCGGCGCCTTGTCCGTCTGTCCGTCCGTCCGTCTGTCTGTCCGTCCATCCGTCTGTCCGTCCCTTTTCTTGTCCAGAGCATAACTTGAAAACCCTTGGAGATAATTTGTTTAAACTTCATACAGTGGTAGAGGGCATTGAGGGGGAGTGCAGTGTCAAAGAACCATAACTCTATTTTGCCCGGTTTTTGAATTATCTCCCCTTATAGAAAAATCTTGTCCGGGGCATAACTCTAAAACTATAAGAGATATCAACATGAAACTTTGTAGGTGAATAGATCTCAATGGGTAGATGTGCAGTGCATAAGACCAATAACTCTTTTTGTCC